TATTATGTCATTTTCCCTATTTCGTCTTATCTCCGTTTGTCAATTTTTGGCACAACCTTACTTTTTGTGCTCAGAGTTGGTTTTTGACTTTACGTGCCTTTATCTTGAGTGGTTTCCTCAAAATACGTATCTTTACTTTTGCAAGAAAGTACTCTAGTTGCTCCCGGTGCCCATAGGGGCATGGATGCACAATTCTTTAGAATCTTTTTCATTTCTTGGGGTGTTTTTCGTAAATATCTTTTGAAGATATTTTATTTTAGGGGCATCTAAGAAAATATCTTTTGAAAGATATTTTCATTCTGGGGCAGTTTCGTAGTTAACCCTTTTTGTAGGGGCCATTGTGCAATTAACGAAAGTTATTGCAAAATGTCTCGTCTGGGCCTGGATCCTCGTACAGGATTCATTTTCACATTTCGTCAAGTCGTGGACTCTTAGAATTTCCTTCTGGTCATTTTTCTCCAGTTTCAGAGTTTCTGGACCCGGTTGCCGCCAAACTTGTTCAGGGCATAACTTTCTGCTCGGGACTCAATTTTTGACGCTGTTACTTCCGTTGTTTATATTTTCTCAGTTTGAATCTTTGGAGTTTTGCCGTTTGAGCGCGTCTGCTCAAAATCCACTTTTCTGGACCCGGCGGGGCCCTTTCAGGGCAGTTTTTGAGACTTACTATAAATAGGATGCCCTAAAGTGAAAAATCAGATTTTGGTTATCTTCCCTACCTCTCTTGGCTGGATTTCCTAACAGCCATGGCTGCCATTTTCTCTCTCCTCATTTGGTCCACTTTTCAATGGTAGAAATCCTTTAGCCTTAGTATTTATTGCTTCCCTCGACGTGCTCTACCTTTTGCCCTTATTAGAATCCATTTCCGACGATTTTTTTAGTTCGGGTTTGGAGTCAAGTTGAGATTTTCATGGGGCTTCTTGCGGATTCTTGTTCACGGTGTTGTCCCCGACAAAACCTCTCGGTATCGTCGAATTCGGAGCACTTTTATTTTGGTGCGCCTTTGTGATTTTCATCTCAAATTGAGGTAGGAGATGTTATAGGTTTAAATTCTTGTTATATAGCATGCTTGTGATGCTTATACTACTTGTTTGCATGATTAAATATAAAATCTAGAGATTTTATTATTTATTTTTCTTGTACGGGATCTAATTTTTCCGGTTTCTCATGACTTGGTTTAAACATGTAGCATGATTTTATATTGCCCCTTGATATGCTCATTGTCGTGTATTAAAATTGGAACATTTGAGTAAGTATTAAAGATTTTATTTAATGTTTATCTTAGGTGAAAGATTAATTCACATGGTCTTAACTAGCTTGAAATTAGTATGTGTTAGCATATTATATTAGGCCTTAGCATGCTCTTCAACATAGTTGAATTTGAAAGTAATTTGAGGTGTTTTGAAAATTAGTAATTATTAATTAATTTGCCCCGAGTGCACTATTCACTCCATTTGAATTCCGACTTGATATTCTTGACCTACATGCCATATAGCTTCACTTATATTTGATTTAGAATATTTGGTGAGGTTTTGAAACCTTTCATTTAATTAATTTCCTTATTTAAGATTTAATCCTCATGGTGATATACAACTTGGAATTGAATTGTGGCATGTTAGTAAATTAAGCTTTGTTGTGGTTGTTCACATATATTAAATTGGGATTAATTGCATGAGAATTGCAACCTTTATTTTATATTTAACTTTAGTGAAAGTTTAATTTACATAGGTGTAACTTGCTTGAAATAAGCTTGTAATGTGATATTACATTAGTCCTTGGCATGTTCTCGAAGATATGTTAAATTGAGTTTTAGAATGGATATAGGTGATGACCATGCCATGTTCTTTAATATGTATTAATTTGAGGTTATTTGGAATTGAATTAGAATCTAGGGAATTTAATTATTTTTATTTAATTAAATTCTATCGAATTGAGTCATGGATTTAATTGTGTTTGAAAGTCGTTTCTATATCAAAATCCTGGACATGGACTTGTTGTATATTCCTTTGGTTATGTTTTGAGCATTAGATAACATAATTGCTATGTTTATACTCATGATAATATATTTTCCTTATTGAATATATTGTTGCCTTGTGTAATGATTTGCACATTTCGTATTTAACATCATTCATGCATAGTGTGTAACGAATCGCACACTGAAGATTCGACATTGATCACATCATATTAGTTGTGGACATAGATCATGTATTGTATAGGTTTCCAAATTTGGTTGTGCTTGGTAGATAGTTGATTATCTTGCATATTCCTGTTCATATATGCGTTGTTACACAACTTGTTGATTTTGGAAACTTGGGGATGTCGTTGTTTGGCTATGGTTAGGACGTGGTTCTAGTATGGGGGATAATCCCTCTATATAGTCTAGTGCGCACATAGGGAGGTTACCCATGGGCTAGTAACCCTAAAGTAACTATGTTGTCGGTCTGATCCGGCTTGACGTTCGAGTTTCCACTTTGTTTGACTTTGCATTTCATTTTTTAGTTGATACTAGATGATGTTGTAACTTGTTGTTCCTTATTTGTTGTTCCATTTTAAGTTACATGATGTTAACTTTGCGAAATTGTGCTTTATGCGTTGTATTGGAAGTCCTAATGTTGGTTAAATTACATCGATATTAAAAATTATGTTTTGACGTTCTAACATAGCTTAGGATTGATCCTATTGATTCATTTAGTACTTAAACGTTAGGTGACATGAACCACCACTGTTATTTTGTGCTTTAGATTCTAAGTTGATGGCAGAACTTATACCTTATTGCATTGCATAACATGCTCTTTTGTTGTTGAATTGCATGGATAATGTGATTCTTGTTAACTTGTATTCAAATATGCTTTTATCATGTTATATTGATTACTCTAGACCTAGTTCAATTGTATTGAAAATGCAATTCATGTTAATCTATGCTCAAGCATTCTTCTTGTCGTGTTTTTAGATTATCCTAACCATGATTCGTTTCATACACGTATGTATGTCATGATTCTTGTTGCTTAGACTCTAACGTAGCTTAGGATGCTCCCCGAGTCTCATTTGGATATAGACGTTAGGTGGCATGAGCCCCTTTAACATGTTTCACCTTAAGGTGATAAATTTGTAAAATGTTAGGTCGATGCACGCTCATCTCCTACGAGTAGCTTTATGTTACTCACCCTTACGATACTGGGGCATATTTCAGGTACGAAGACTTGGTTCGTGATGCCTAGCATTCCTTAGATGTTGTGTAGCTTTCAAGTTTTCATTTCATACAAATGTTAGCATGAAATGTCATTTTGTAGACTTATATGTCAAAATATGTATATTTGATTCCATGTATGTATTGTGTACTTAAGTATACTCCTTTCAATGTATTTGATATGTATGAGATGAGACCAGAGGCCAATGACCATTATATTGTATTCTATGTACTTTTTAACTTCATGAAATATTGTGAAAATCTTGAAAAATCGAAAGTCATTGCTTCACCATGGTTGCATCGGGTGTGGGAATTCCGTTTTTATTCTTTTATAGGGTCTTATAAATCATGTTTGAAGTATGGCCAAGGGCTAAACGGTCATTTGATCCCGTTTTGTATTTTTGGATTCCGAGTTTTCATTCCAAGTTTCATTTTTGCCTTTTTGCCCGTTGGAGGGTCGGATTTTGTATCGGTGGTATTTTTAAGTCATGGACCATTGTAGCACGTCCAAATAGGTAAGTTACGTTTGCGTGCATGGTCGTTTCTGGGCAAAACCTTATCGTTTGTGTTTTGAGCCTCTTGTGAATTCATTTTGCACTTTTTTTTGCATATTCTGATCTAGGGGCATTGTAGACTTTTCACGGTAGTTTTATTTTCTTCTTTCAAGATGGTTGAATAGAAAAAATGATTTTAAGGGGGGTTTCTTTTTCGTATTTCTCCAGAAAATGTCGTCTTGATATCGGAAATCGCTTACGAAGTTCAGCTCTCAGTTTTTCAATTTAGCAGCTTTTTGGACCTCCATGACCATATTTCACGGAGGGGCATTTCGGGTATTCTATATTGCGTTTTTTTTTAATTCTCTTGTGAGTCACGTAGAAAACTTAATTTTGAGGGGGGTTTCTTCTCTGTGTTTTTGCAATAAAATTCATCTAGGTCTCCAAATTCAGCCTCTGTTCTGGATTTTTCTGAAAAATAACCCCACAGCAGCTTTATGGGCTGCTGCTACCAGCCATGGTGCACTCAGCGCGTGTGTGGCGTGCATGGGCGCGTGCATGGGTGTGCGCATGGGGTTGTCATGACCCCTTGTCGGGCCGCCGCGACGTCAACTCTTATTTTAGGCTTTTCTCCTTCGTCCGGACTCCGATTCAAGTGAATTTTTTTTTGAACTTGACTAATTTTTCGCTGTCTTTCCAACGGTGTACTCGATTGCACCCGGTTTGTCTTGGATAATTACCAGTTTACCCTTTTGCCTTAAGTACTTATTTTTCTTCGTCATGCCGTTTCTCCTTCGTCCGAACTCTGAATCATGCGATTCTTGAGTCCATCTTGATTAGTTTTTCGTTGTCCTTCCAGTAGTATGCTCGGTGGCACCCGAATCTATAGTTTTTAGAAATGACTATTTTGCCCCTGGGGGCTTATTTGTCATATTTTCGATCTTTTACTTCCGCATTAGTTCTTGTTGAGTTCCACGACCTCATGGAAGGTCATTTTGACTTCTTAGAGTCTTGTTTTCTGTTTTCGCTTCCGCATTCAGATCCGTTATCGGATCATCCTTACGGTTCATCACTGGACACGCTGGCCTAAAAAACCAGGGTCGTCACAACAACAACCACCGCCCCACCTCTATGATTTTCCACTGCCATGTCCTTCTCTTTCCTCTTCTCTTCTTCCTCAACTACACCCATCAATCTTTAATAATTTTTTTTCTTTCAAAAAAAAAAAAAAAAAAACAAACTGCACCCATCAATCCTGCTCGTCTATCACCCAAATCCCTCCTCACCGATCTTAGATGGCCCTTCCACTGAAGTACCCTGATTCACTTTGCTCCATTGACGGCCACCATGAACCCATCGTCACCACCACGGACGTGGTCGGCGGCGGCAGAATCATGGCAGAGAGCTAAAAAATGTAAGGGCTCATCGACGGCAGCTATGGAGTTGGTCATGGCTGTTCCGGTGGTCGGCGAAGCTATATTCGAATAGAGAAAGAGTCACTGACATTGTTTCATTGGAGACTCGCCGAAAATGACAACATATAGCACAATCCTGACGTCATCGACACCGGGAGGTTCAAAGTTCTACTACCTCTCCCGCCAGAACTGGTGGATTTTGACCATAACGGGTGTCCGGTCTTCTTCTGAATTGGTTATTTATTTATTTAAAGAAAGTTTCTTTTATTGTTTTGTACTATTATTAGAATTGATTGTTTTCTATTATGGCTGATGGTTTTTACCTTCAGCATCATTCACTGAAGTGATTGACCTGCCAATCGAGAAAGCCCTATGGTTATTTAAATCATGTATTTTGTCTCATCCCAATATGCGAAAAGAACATTTAGCAGTTCATTCCCCTTCTCTTCCAGCTATACATATTTCACAGGGCTTTCTTGGAAACGAAAGAGAATGCAAAGAGTGTTTAGTTCAATAAAAGAAGAATGAGAGAGATATGGGTTTCACTGAAGACAGAAACCAACCAAAGCAAGCCATACAAATGGATGGAATGGACACACAGATAATTTCAATCCAAAACAATAGTAAGCGGTAGTTAACAGTGCTTAAATATATATATAAGGGCCTTTTTGTCATTTAAGATTAGAGATATTTTGTATTAAAAAGTTGAGGGTAAAATAGTCAATTCGCATGTATCAGAGGTCAAAAAGTAAATTGGGGTGTAAGCGAAAGTTAAAACCAAAATCTTCTTCTAACTGAAAAATGACTTAACTTCAAGGGGTCTGAGTGTAATTTGCCCTAATTAAAATGGTAGTTTTGGTCATTTCTTTTCACTTTCATGCTTTTCAAATTTACAAAACAATATTTTCTCATAACTTTCTTGAAAATTTTTCTTACTAACTAGATACATAATGGATACTTTATTTTCTTTTCATTCCCTTTACTTTCTTTAACTTTCATTTTCTATAAAAAATTTCTGTCTAACCAAACGGAGATCATTGCCACCCGAAATTCTTTCAAACGCACCTGAAATTCGCATGGGATCCCACCTTAATTTTACTCCAATGTATGCATGTTTTATGCCTTAGTTTCTGAGATCATTGCCATTGAAGTTGGAGAATGAATTTACTTAACCCGGTCTAAATCCGTTAAAAACCCATTAATTTAGCGGGTCCAATTTAAGTTGACCTGTTAATGACCAACTATTCAATTTGCCTTATCAAAAACCCGCTGAATTGTGATTTAGGGTTCGGATGGGTCGGAGTCATTTTTTGCCACCTCCATCTACATCCAACAATTTTCTATGTTATAAATTTTATACTTGCGTATTTCTGATGAATCTTGACTTGTTATTACTAAATGAGAACCCAGAAGCTTTCAGAAAGAAAAATTAAAATCAAACCTTTGATTTTTACTATGTTATAATTATATTGAATTTCTTGTAATCTAATTTGTGTTAGGCAATTAATCAACTTTGTTGTTTTGCTTGATGTTCTTTATTTTAATTTGGTTTTAGTTATTTAGTTAGTTAGTTTGGTTATATGTTTGTCATTTTTTAAATTTATTTAAATACTATTGTTTTTTTGTAACCTATTCACTTGAATTGTGAAAATTATTTTTCCTTGAGTAAGTTAGGTCTGTTGGGTGGTTGTGGTCCAAATTTTATTTCTTTACTCAAATAATGAGCTTTCTTAAACAACATTGACCCATTTTTATCTTGCTAGTCTTGGACCCAAATTACAATCTCTATCATAACCTAAAAAACTTGAATGTGCCTTAACACTCTCTGTTTTCCCTCGTAAACATTGATGCTTTGGGGTACTCAGCCCAAAAGGATACAAGATGTTATAAGAGCTACAAGCACAATTTTTTTCTTCAAGCTGTTCGATATATAACTCGCTATGATAGGCAGATGGAGTCTGAATATGCCTTGAAATCGGACCAAACATCTTCTTCCCAGCATTCATTTTCTCCTTTTACTGCAACTAGGCTCTCCTTGTAGACCCAAACATGAACCGAACAGTAATTTCCAAAAGGTCCAACATACTTGATTTCTTGACAATCAGGATAGTAAAAAACTAGTTGTGCTGTGCCTGTTTCGAATAAAACATCTCCATTTATCCAGAATCCTAGAGGTGAATCTACATCTCGAAATGGTCCGATTGTAAATCGTTTTGTCCAACTCCCCTCCTCCTTCATCAACCATATATCGAAGTCTTTCTCAACTACTTCACTTGGGTTGTAGAAAAACATAGCAATATAATCATTACACATGGAAAGAACTCCCAATTGAGATTTGGGAATATCTGGAGGTGTCCGCGTTTCATGGAAAATTTCACTGTTCATGTCAAATGAAAAGAGAACATAGTTGTTATCATCGTCACTGGTCAACCAGTAATGAACTCCATCCATGTATGTGTTACACATACACTCGTGTATGTAACCTTTTCCAAACACATCAACTTCGAAGAGATTCCAAGAATGAGTATTTAAGGTATATATTGCAATAACTGTAGGAATGTATGGATCATCATTTATCTCATCCCAGAATAATCGAATCCAAACCAACTTATAATGGTTGGTTATTGGATCTAACCCCATTCCAGAATAAAAACAGTAGGCTGTGTAAGTGGATGGAATTTTGGGTTGAGGTACAAGGAGAGACCTGAATTCTTTCAAAGAAGGGTTCCAAAGAGCTAAGTGGAGACGATCCCAGACACAAAATATTCCGTGAAAAGGACCGTTAACACATAGAATTCTGGGTATTCCAAGTTTATCAAGATCATCAAATAGAGAAGGTGTGATGGAAATTTTTTCATAAGGAAATGAGGCCAAAGCATATTTTTGGATTTTGTATGTGTAGCGCTGCATAAGCAGACGAGTATTGCTGTGGCTATGGAGGTGTTTACTAATGAAATTAGAATTCTTGACAAGAGTGTACCAACATTTGCAAACAATTCTGAACCGCAACAATGATTTCACAGTCAGTCTCGAGAGAATCTCTACTATCACTATTTCTTGAATGTAATTTTCAGCAATATTGCTTGCCATTGATTCCCTCTAATTTAGTTGTTCAAACAGGTCCCTCGCATTGTAATACTATAGGAGGCTTTCTGAAGAAAAGAAAAAAATAAATATAACAACAATTCAAAATTCTAATCAAAATGAGAAGCCATTTATTTGACAAGGAATCCAAAGAGTGAAGCGCTTCCTATGATGTAGAGAAAGAAGGAAAGAAACACACGAGAATAATTACTGAGAAAGGAAACAAATATACTCCCTCTTTCTCAAAATAAGCGTTCACCTCAAAATAAGCGTTCACCTTTCTATGAAAACTCAATGTACTACTTTTCTTTTTTTCTTTTTTTCTTTTTTTTTTTTTTTTTTTTGTAATATTACTCATTAAAAAGTAAACAATCACATCACTATAGAACCAGTAGAGCCACTTGACCTTTTATTTTCTAAACAAAATAACAAGAAAATTCCTTAACTCATTAATGCATCATCAATGATTTTATAATACCATAACTATTGTTTATACTCTAATATTCAACTTTTCATTTTTATTCTTTAAACTTTCTTTACTCTTTTAGTGTTTTTTTTAAGGACATGTCAAAAGAGAGAATTTATACAATGTAAACTTATTTTTTTTGATCTTATCAAAAGAGATAATTTATTCAACAAAGATAACTTTTTGTTAGGTCCGGTCAAAAAGAAAATTTATTTAATTGAAATAACTTTTTGTTTGTCGTATTACGCCTTTTTTTTTAGTGTTGAAAGAGATAATTTATTCATAATAAATAATTTATTTAGTAGATTTAATTTTTTTCTTTTTGTCCTATCTAAAGAAATAATTAATTCAATAAAGACAACTTTTTTTTAGAATGGGCTTTTCGAGCAAAGCTCACTAAGTAAATCAACTCCCTATAAAGATACCTTTGCCCATAGATAAACCAAACCTCAGGTCCGTGTAGAGTTTTTTTGGTACTTATTATTTTATTTTTTGTCATGTAAAAAGAAATAATTTATTCAACATAAATAACTTGTAATGTCTTGGATTTTTCCGAATTTTTCGGTATTTTTTTTCATGCATCGTTTTACGTGTCATGTGGCATCCAATGATTTTATTGCATTTATTTATTTATTTGGGGGCATTGATGTGTTATATATGTATATGGGTATATATGTTTAGTTGGTGGAAGAGATATTTTGTGGTACATGTGTAATTGTTTAAAGGAGGGGGGTTAGTTTGGTATTTTAGTGGGTCAAGGGGGGGAGGACCACTCATTTTGGAAGACTTGGGTTAAGTCTTAGACCACCTCATCACTCTCTCTTCCTCTCATTTTTCAACCACCCCTTTTCCAAATTCCTTATTTTCCATATTTCTCTCTCTCTACATATCTCCATCTTCTCTCTCGAATTTCCCTATGTTAAGGTAAGATTTGTAAAGAGCCATAGAGAAAGCATAGAGCTTGGCAAGGGGTAAATTTTGACACCGGTCTTGCAATCATTTGGTGGGATTTCGAGTTTGGATCTTGAACTTTGATTTCTTCATTTGAGGTAAGGAAGTCTAAATTGCAATTTCTTTGATTTTTGTGAGTTTTCTATTATATGTATTTGTATCTGAAGGTGTTGTTAATTGCAAGTTTGATGTTCTTGAAATGATTATGCCTTATATGATTTATGCTATTAATGTGATGATTTGACGTATTTGATTTAAAGTATGTTACGATGATGATGCTATATGTTTATTTCCTTGAGAAATGTTAATGATTCGTATCTAACATGTATATCATGGGCATTGGTTTGGTTCATGGGTTCGAAAGGATGTTTAAAATGGTTTCCAACAATTTGTGAAAATTGATTTGAAAGTTTTGAAAGGTTTTATTTGAAAATGTTTTGTAAATACGGACGCCTTAGAGTTGCCATATGGTCCGGGGTTAACTAATCTAGAAGGTGGCACAAAATGAAATTTGGACATATATAATTGAGCTACCTAGGCCCTAAATGACGTTAAGGAGACGTCCTAGGTTAAGGATAGCTAGCCAATTCCCTCGTGATGCCTAGGAGTTACTTAGGGTCGAGTTGTGTTAACATTTTCAATGTGGGTCGTGTTTTGTCTGAAATGGTTTCGGAAATAGGGATAGTGCATTTCATTACATCTCATTTCATCATTTGCAAAACATAGAGATTAAACTTATGTTGTATAATTGTTTCTTTCCCCATTGTATGATCTCTTCTTATATTATCCTTTGCTTTGGGTGTGATTCACGGGATTATAAGAAGTGTACTTTAGACTATCTCTATTGAGCCATTGTGCTCACTCTATATTCTAGCATTTTCAGAACATGGCAAGGATGTTGTAGATGATACACTAACGTAAGTTTAGACGTTGATGAGTGCTGAAAAGTGCGTATTTAAACCCCTTAAGCTTAGGCATTCTAGCACCTTTATCTATCTTACTTTACCGTTTTAGATTGATTTCGTATTATTTCCATTTTTAGGCACTTATCCCGAAAATAAGTTAACTTAGCCAAATAAGAGCTTAATTAAAGCAATTCTGGGATTAAACAAAGAAATGAACAAAGTGGAGAAAGAAGAAAGCAAATGAAGCCAAAGGTGGGAAGCAGCAAAGTTCGATCGATCCAACTTCAAGGTTCGATTGATCGAAAAATGATCGATCTCAGCACTTCAAGATAGATCCAAGCCTTGACCCAAAAGCATAAAGTCCAAAAGTTCGATCAATCCAACACCACCCTTCGATCGATCGAACACTTTTGTCCTTATTCAAAATATCTCGGATTTGTCTTTTCCCAAAAAGCTCAACCAGTTGGATCGATCCAGCCTAAGTTCAATGGATTTTAGCCAGTTCGATCCATCCAAGTCCAATGTTCGATCGATCGAACTTCCTCCAGTGCGAAAAAGTTAAATTTCCAACTTGTGCAATCCGTTCTCTATCCAATCATTAGAGAATATTCTTTGCACGACCCCGGCTCATTTTGTGTGCCACTTAACCTACCTATAAAAGGAATATAATGCACTTTTTGAGACATACACAACTCTAGGGTTTATTCTCTTGGAGGGGAAGTTTAGAGGAGGAGGAAGCTAGAGACACCATTGGAGTTTTTCATCAACAAGGAGCAGATTTTTAACCATGGAGTTAGCCCTTGAGGGTTGGAGCAACATCACCATGAGTGGCTAGACATCCTCTTGGGGCTAGAGTTAGCCCCAACCATTTTTTCTATATCTTAATCTTGTGTATTATTGAGGAATTAGTATTGAAATTAATGTTTTGACACCTTGATATATATAGATCTTGTTTATTCAATGATTTATGTGGTTTAATGCTTCCAATTGATCATTTCATTCTATCCATATGTCTATGTATGCTAGAATAGATGTTCATGTGCTTGTCTCTAGATGTTGTGTTATTGATGCATGTCTATGTGTATTGATGCTATAGATTTGGAGATTGTCAAAACATAGTGCTTAAAGGAATGCTCTTGTGATTCTCTTGATGGTTTATACTTATTCCTTGATGGATTGTGCCTCTCCCCTAGTTTATTTTCATGCTAGTAGTGTAGATGTAGTGTAGTTGTAGTGTAGTGTTAAATGGGGAGACAATCTATGCTTGTTGTTTGATGATCCAAGCTTTTGAATGCAAGTAGCATATGTCTCTATCCTTATGTTGTATTTGGATTGTGAGCTTAATGAAAGGATTAATGACTTGTTTTGATCTATTGTGCCTTTTACATGTTGTTTAGACAATATATGCTTCATTGCTTAAATATATTATGCCTTTCACATGATGTTTAGACAATTCATGCTTAACTAGTCATCCTTGCTTGTTGAATCAACCAAACACACACACACCAATATTGCAACACACCATTTGCCCTCATTAGTCACTTGTCAATGGTACAGAAATGCATTGCTTGGTGGTGATCTCTAAACCCCTAAGATCTCTCTCTCTTTTACTTACTCTTAATTGCATTATTTTGTTATCACTTAGTTTAATTTAGTTGTTCTCTAATCAACCAACCAACCAATTGTTTGATCACTCGACCTAGTAGCCTTAATAACGATTCCACGACATTGTTCGATCCTCACAATCCCTTGGGACGATTCCTACTCGCCCTAGCTATATTTATAGTGAAAGGTAGTAGTGGCTTCTATAAATGTAAAACTCTTGGCCCTCGCCTTAAAATCCACACACTCTCAAGCTTGATGTGGTACTGCGACACACCTGTAACAGTTTTTGGCGTCGCTGCCGGGGATTGATTGATTTGATTTGGCAATGTCGAATTTGTGGAATCAATTAGGATTAGTACTCTTTTGATCGTGTCTTTACTTTATTTTTTTTATTTTATTTTTCTTTTTGGTTACTTATTGTGTTGTTTTTACTTAACTAGGTGCATTGTTGGAGAGGAAGCAAGCAAATGAGCATTCAAGCTAAGCAAAGAAGAAAAAAGCTAAAAATTCTAAAAATTTGCTAAGCTAAGCTTTAAATTTGGAGTTGAAGTGTGTGAGATTTTCTTTACTCAATCCCTTAGTTAAATCGTCGGCCCGCGTGGAGGCTTGTTTTTAATTGTTCTTGCATCATTGTTATTAAAGTATGGGAGTATGAATTAAGTGTTTGTGGAAGAAGTCTAATTGCATTGTTGTGAAGGCATAATGTTTGTCATTCTTTGTGTTTGTTGTGTTTTGCATTGTGCATGTATGGACGTCGTTCATTGAAACCAACTCTTGTCCCTCTTGATTTGCATCTTGAATTCATCGTTAGAAATCCTAGGGGAAGAAGAAGTTCAAATAGAACCAATCTATCAATGGATGACCATAATGATAATCATGTTGAGGACCTTAGTCATATAGACCAATAAGGTATCCGTCATTTCAATGTGCACAATGAGAACATACAAGTACTATTAGGCATGCCTAGGCCATTCATTCACCAACCACCACAACAACAAGGCCAAGTTCCATATCGAATACCAAAGCCAATGTATGCTCCACAACCTCCCATCATTAATCAAGGAATTCAAAACCAAGGT